TGTAGGGCTTTGGGGAGGTGATTAGATGGGGGAGAATTAACTCATCAGTGCATCAACCCATTAATAGGTTCATAGCTATTCTGCTGTGATTGAGGAAGTAGGTCACCAGGGGTGTGACCTAGAAGAGTATATCCTGTCCCCAGCCCCCTCCCACTTTCTGGGTCTTTCTGCTCGCTCTGCTTCCTGGCTGCCAGGAAGTGAGCAGCTTTCCCTCTCTAGGTCCTTCCACCATTGGAGCCAGCCCATCATGGACTGAAATCTCTGAAACCATGAGCCAAAATCAATCATTCCTTCGTTAAATTGTGTATGTATGTCAGATATTTTATCTTAGCAATAAAAAGCTGACTAATATACCATCCCTACTTCCTGCTCTCCTTCACACAAGCCAGAGATTCTATTTGGCAAAGCATGGGCCCTCCTTACAAGGGGAGAAGTTGACCAGGACCAAGCCATCATTCTCTGTGTGGACAGAGTGCTGGCAGTGCTCCACCTTCATTCTAGTTCGTGTGCAGAGGAAACATCCTGTAGGACACTCAGGAAGGTCAAAGTGTTAACGGTAGTTATTTCTGGCAGTTGGATTAGAGTGGATTTTAATTTTCTTTGTTTTACTTATCTGTGTTTTCTGATTTTTTTTTACCATGAATAGACATTCCTTGATTAATTTTTTAGATTTTTTTCTTGAACTACATCTTGATTGCTTTATTTTAAAAAGAGCTTAAAAAATTCCCCAGTACTTTTCAAGAGTATAAGTTTGGAAAAGCAAGTATGTTACCTTCCAAGTTAAGCTTAAAAATACAGCCTCTACCCCAGATCTAGCCTCAGACATTCTACCCAAACCAATCACCAGCCAGCACTGGGAGGTTTTGCTCAGGTCTCCCTAAGCAAAAGTGTTTTCAGCAATGTGCTAGTGAAGAAAAAGGACTTAAGACATGTTAAACCAGAGCACATGGCTACTTATCTGACAATGGATATGAGGGGCTGAGAGACTGAGTGAGCTAAGACAGGCAGGAAATCCCACACAGGGCCAGCCCATCACAGGACTTCCGGTAGATGTGAGAATCTACTGTGTGAACTGCTTTGGCTTCAGCTTGGGGCTAGGCCCTGCTTTGGGGCTATGAATACAGTGATCCTACCCTAAAGGAGCTCCTAATCTATGCCAGGAGTCAAATAACAACAATTGCAGCTAGCATTTATCAAAAGCTCGTGTGCCATATAGACTTCTGAGAGCTATGTATTTATATATTGATACTATTCAGCTTTATAGTCATCTCTGAGGCAGCCTGTCTCAATAATTATCTTATCTTTTGTCCTCCTGGTCATAGAAATTTGTTCATCTCTCAGTCAGAGCCCAGAACTGTGGTGTGGTAATGGATCTGTTACCTATGTACAGTGGATATGCCTAGGTGTTAGAATTAAATTTTCTGCCAACTCTGCCAATTATGGGCAGTATATTTGATCTTTCAATGCCTCATTTTCTTCATCTGTAAAATAGAACTAACCATACTTGTTAATATTGCCTCATAGGTTATTGTAAGGATAAAAACAGCTGGGCGTGGTGGCACACACCTGTAATCCCAGCATACAGAAGGCTGAGGCAAAAGGATCAACAAAAGTTCACAGCCAGCCTAGTGGGCTACATAGTGAGTTCAAGGCCAGCCTGAACTACATAGCATGACCCTGTCTCAAAAAACAAAACAAAAAAGGTTTTAAAACTCAATATGTACAAAGCTCTTAGATCAGTGTCTGGTATGTGGGTTATAGGCCAGCTGATATCATTTTTGTTGCTATTTCTGTCCTCCCTTAAGAGCTCCTTCCAGCTAGGACACAGCATTATTCATTGTTATATTCATAACACCAACCCAGAACCCAGCATACAGTTGAGACCAATAATTGTGTGTAAGTGAAAGAGAAAATTTATTAATCATATGTTACAAGCATGGAGGGAGGTGAGTGCTTTTGCTTCATGAGTGGGCATCAGATTACTCCAAGGGTGATGATAATGGAGGAGTATGACACTTCCTAGGGCAGATAGAGTTAAAGGAATAGCGAATATTAGACCATAGTTTAACTCTCCATTTAGGAGAAGCCTGAGGCTTAGGGAATTCGTGCAACTTGCTTGTGGTTGGTTGGGCAGCTCATTAGCATTGGAGGGGATATGTTCAGGAAAGTGGGCCTTTTAACCTCAAATTCACTCCATGGAGAACTGGACAGAATGTTCTATTTCAGGCCAAGTTCACAAAGTTGTATTGAATGCCAAGTGCCTTATGCTAGGCTCACAGAAACAGAGGTGTGTTGGACTCAGGGAGGGTCTAGTTTGGGACAATGCGAACATTAAGCAAATCCAGTGGGATGAGAGGAAGCTCAGGGCATAATGAGAGCTGATTGTCTTTCCATCTATAGCTATCAAGAGACTGAAAACCAGTCTGAGAACTGGGAAAACAAGAGTTCTTTAGAATATGGCTTAACAAACCTATTGAGGTCATTCTTGAGTTATTGCTCTGGACCCTCCAGTTAAAGGGAGCTCCCCATGCAGAATGGAAATCCTGTGGGGAGAGGTAGAGGTTAATTTCTACTGGGGGTGTTATGGGTGGCTGGCATTGGGAACCTGGAGAAAATATTTCAACATCCCCTACAAAGTAATGCCTCTCCATGCCCTCCCCACAGAACAGCCCCATTCCAGGGGTCCTGGGGGAGTGGGAGAGCAGGGAGATGTTGCTATGAACCACACTTTTGCCCTGCCTAAGGCACAACTATAAATTCACATGAAAATAGATCTACCAATATGGCTGGAAATGCATGGTACAGCTCAGGGGTGGGAAATTCATAACTCAGTTCACCCTGGTGCCATTAACCGCCCACCTGGCAGTAGTTTAGCACTGAGCATCCATTATGTATTAGTGAGATTGAGGATGTAGGAGGAAGGGCCGTGTGTGGGTAGCAATCCAGCATTAGTGAGGAAGTACAGTAGAGCAGGATGTGCTCGGCACAGGAGCTAGGACCTCTGGCCTCCATCACTGAACCTCTCTGGGTGACTTTGGGCAAGTCATTTAACTTCTCTGGCTTTGATTTCCTCATCTGTAAAGTGGGGCTTGAATTAAATCATCTCCTAAAGTTCGTCAGGCTCTGAATTCAATTCAGAATTCTCTATGCACTATGGAAAAACTTGCAAAAGTTGCATCCCTATCCTAGAAGGTATAGCCAGGCAAAATCTCAACAAGCAGATTGCCAGCCTTCACAGAACACATTTCCCAAGCTGTGATCATAAGCCTTTCCCTAAAGACCCCCTAACAGAAGAGTCCCAATTCGTCTCCCAGCTCAGGGTTTGGGGAAATGCTATCAGGCATGACACATCTTTGAATTTTTTGTTACCTGGAGGGTAATTTCACATTCTACTTCATAATCTATCCTTGCTTGTGTTAATATAAAAATAGAATTTTAAATTACTGTAGATGTTGGTAAATCTAGATTTGAAGGTTGATAGAGAACCTTACTTTTCATTTGAACTATAGCCAAGTGCTAACCCTGGATGATAAGATTACAAGAAATGTTTAATTCCTTGTTTGTATTTTCAATCTGTTCTCTGACTTAAAACTAAAGAAAAGTAAATACATATTTAAAAATGAAATATATCATAGTTTCGACCTTCATGTGTAATATTTGAGGGAAGGACTTCCCCATATGAATGAGTTCCCTAATGGTATTTTCTTGCTTTGCTCATTTAGATATCCAAGTCCTTTAGACATAGCAATCATAAAAGAATATGTGCATCTGAATATGTGTGTTTGAATGATGATGATGACAGCAACTATCATCACTGTGCTTTTACCCTGTGCTAGCGTTATATATCCTTATATGTACATTTGTCTAATCCTTAGTAAATCCTTTGAGGCAGTGTGATCCTCATTTTACCACTGAAGTCACTGATACACCAAACAGATGATTGGAACATCTTTAATGCCCCCTCTTTTAGCCTCTTAGCTCACCCCTAAGACCTGGCTCTTGCTGTGGCAGCTGCTACAGAGCAGCTGACTGTTGTCACCTGTGGAGTTCCTCTCTCATGAGGATTTGTGCATTCTCGAACCCTGAGATTGTGTACAGCCAGTGTGGTAGAAAGAACACCCACAGGAAGCCCAGCCAACAGTGGCAGGGAGGCCTCAAAACAAAGAGCAGACACTAAATAAACCTTTATCAGGAGGCCTTGAAGAGTAGCAGGCAGTCACTGCCTCCTGCTTCTAATGTTGGTGAAGTTCCAGCTCTCTGCCCACCTGATACTGCAGCCAGTCCCTTAATGAGAGGGTCAGTGGGGGAAAGGCAGGAGAATGTTCTACATCACTGAATCTCAAACTGGAACAGCCATCAGAATCTCCCAGAGAGCTTCTTAAAACACAGGGGCCCCACCCCGGAGCTTCTGATTCATTGTGCACCACTTTTTTTTTCACTCTGATAAATGGCATCAGGTAACTACCAATTCTCTAACCAATGGCAGCATGCAGAACCACTTGAAGAGTTTATCCAAAGTCTAAAGTACCGTCTCCCTGGGTGTAGACTACAGGCTGCTCCAGATTCTCATACTCAAAGCATAAAAGAGTATAGAATTTATATATATTTATATATATAATATATATATGTGTGTGTGTACCAATACCCCACAATGAATATACTCATTGTTTCAAAAACATATACTAATAAAATTTTTTTTTAATTTTAGAGAATACCATTAATTTCATCCATGAAACCCATTTCTCATTATTATGCTAATTAGCAAAGTCTGTGTCTAGCTGTGGATACTGATGTGTACAGTGGTGACTGGAGTGTGACCTTTCTTACATAATGCTGGCTGATAACCCCTATCCTGTGACTTCCTGGTTAGACACCTAGGATAGAATTTCAATTAGCACGGACTTATAATCAACCTGGTGAATATTTTAGAGTAAATTATAGGCAATCTTCATGGGAAAAAACTTAATTAACAAATCCTTGGGCTTTGTTTGGTCCCACAGACCGAGCCTGAAATCATAGAGGAAACCAACGTGGATCGAGTTCACGATCCCCGGGGCTACACCAGGTCCCGGCCAGTGAAAGGCCACTCTGAGACCTCCACACTGAGCTCGCAGCCGTCCATCGACGAGGTGAGGCAGCAGATGCACATGCTGCTCGAGGAGGCCTTCAGCCTGGCGTCCGCCGGCCATGCTGGCCAGAGCCGCCACCAGGAGGCCTATGGCTCCACACAGCACCTGCCCTACTCCGAGGTGGTGACCAGTGCCCCAGGGACCATGACGAGGCCCAGGGCGGGTGTGCAGTGGGTGCCAACCTACCGCCCAGAAATGTACCAGTACAGTCTGCCCCGGCCGGTAAGTCCGATGTCCCTCTTGCCTGTCATCGTCAGCCAGCCCTGGCCAATGGGTCCAACAAGGGACTCAAAGCAGGGACTTCTAATGATGAACTACCTTGGGAGTTGGAGACACACTTTGCTGCTCTCATGCTTTCCTTCATGCATGACACAGCCTTTTATTCCTGGGGGCAAAACATGCAAGAACCTCTTATGGCCAGAAGTGGTGTGGTACATGTCTGTCCCAGCAGTTGGAAGACCAAGGCAGAATGGCAAGTTCTAATCCTGCCTAGGCAACTTAGTGAGACCCTGTCTCAACATAAAGAAAATTTTAAAAGAGTTTGGATTGTAGCTCAGTGTGAAGGCCCTGGGCAGTACAGAAGAAAAAGAAAGAGTGGGGATGTAGCTCAGTGCTAGAGCACCCGCAGTACCACAAGGGAAAGAAAGCCTTTATGTTCAACCATAATACATATTAGAATTAATTTTATTTTCTACTGACCTCCCTGAAAAGGGCTGACCCCATTCTTCATTCAAGAAGAATGCCAGGTAAACAGTAAATGCTAGTTCATTAGTAGAAATTGCTTCCATGATTTCAAATAACAATTTTAATTAGTTTGCATTTTGTTCATCACTGTAGCATGTACCTGTATCTTTTTCAGATGACAAGCATAGTTATACAAACCATAGACCATACTAGATGGAGCTTGCATATATAGATTCAGCCCTTCTGATAACCCATGCCCTATCCCAGGGCTTACTCCTAAACAGAGGTTTGTAGATTGTTATTGTGATATGTCACTACTCAATAAGTGAGTACCAGTACTCAATAAGTGAGTGTTTTACCAGTCCTGGTACTGATCTAAGCATTACTTGTATGTTACTTATTCAGTGTTTACTTTCAACAAGCCCCTGAGACAAGTACTAGTTTTATCTCTAGTTTACAGATGAGAAAACTGAGAATATACAACTTGTTCAAGGACAGCCAGGAGGAGACAGAGTTAGGACCCAAGGCCAGGAAGTATGGCACCAGAAACTAAGTTTTAACCAGGATATCTTATGTGTTATTGTATTGTCTCTGCTCTTTATTATTTACTTCATTTGCAGTAGATTATTTGGGGGCACCTGTGGGCCTGCACTCCTGCCCACTAAGTACACACTATTCTGGGACTTAATATTTACTGTGGTGCTGTGTAAGTATGCAGCCTGCACACCAGACCCAGATTTCTTATTGTCCCTTTGCTCCACATTGCTCCTTCTGGGCCACTGAGATGTCTCCCCACAACGCTGCTCTCTGAGTCATGCCTCCTTCTCCATGAAGGTTTTGTCTCTCCCCTAAGCTTCCTCTCCCCACACCATTTCTGGTTGATTAGCCAAAGAGCCCAAAGTTCGTTGCAAATTGGGGCTCTAGGGGAGACACAGGTGGCTCTCCTTGGGGCTATCATCAGTACAAGGCTTTGTCCTTAGGTTGGCAGGTTTAGAGTTTCTATCTTGTGTCTTTCTCCAAGGGGATCAGATCCCAGGAATCTGACATGCTGATTAAGCTCCCAACTGCTTTATTATTCAGAATATGAATTTACCAACCTTCAGTGAGTATTGGGTGGCCAAGTGACAGGGTGATCTTCCCAGAACACCTATGCTTGCCCGTCTGTGTGCTCCTTCACTAAGTACTATAAATACCAGTTTGGGGAAAATGAGACAGTAGAAGAACTAGTTGTTTTAAAGACATCTTCTCACTTTGTCATATGCAATTCCAGAGAGGACAAGCAATAAAGCAAATAAACACAAGACATCTGTTTTTAATCCTGTTTTCTGAAATATAAGTGGAATACAAAGACCAAATTCTTTTTTTTCCTTTCTTTTGTGGTGCTAGAGATCAAACCCACAACCTCATGCATGCTAGACAAGTGCTCTACCACTGAGCTATGCCCCCAGCCCTCAAAGAAGAATTGCATGTGTACAGCACATGTTGTCTATCCATTCATCTGTCAGTGGGCACTTGGTGTGGTTCCACCTTTTGGCCATCGTGAATGGCATTTCTGTGAATTCCACTGTACAAATCTCTCTTCAAGTCCTTGCTTTCCATTCTTTTGTGTGTACACCCAGGAGTAGAATTACTGGGTCATATGGAATTCTATTTGTAATTTTTGAAGAACTGCCCTACTATTTCCCATAGTGGCTGCATCATTTTATATTCCCACCAGAGGTGCCCAAGAGTCCCAGTTTCTCCACATCTTCACCAACACATGCTATTTGCTGGCCTTTTGGCAGTATCAGTTTTAATGAGTGTGAGATGATATCTCACTGTAGTTTTGACTTGCAATTCCTTAATCATTAGTGATACTCTGCACCTTTCCATGTACTTGTTAGCCATTCATGTTCCTTCTTAACACAATTTTTAAGGCAAAATAGACTTGGGGAAAATGATTACATCTCAGGAATACAAGTTTTCCTTCACCATCAGAGAATTTTGGTGGGTGCTTTTGAAAAGCACTGCATTACCAAAGAATGTCAACAATTCTGAGGTTACTACTGGCCACATTCCCATCAGTCTGGATCTAAGCACCCCCTTTTCCCAGAAAGTTAGAAAAATTCTCACTCACCCTTCAAACCTGTCATCTTAAGTGCTTTCCCATGACAATCATGTTACAATTTTCAAGATTACAGTGTTCTACTAATTGCACATTACATCGGCATCTGGCTTTAGGAAAGAGGGAATTTCCTCTCTGAGATTTAGCACACACCTTAATCTTACCATGTTTATATCCTCCTCTTAGGCTGCTTTCCTCTGGGAACAGTCACCATATCCATTCATTACCACTGACTTCCATCATGTTGCCTCATTCATCCCAGTATAGATAGGATGCTCATGTCCTTAAACTTACTGTTTCCCCCACTCCAAGGTAGGATGATGCTCACCAGCTGAAAGGCCTTAGTGACTGCAGCTCTGAACCTCACACCCCTCTGCATAAAGTGGTGATGACAGAGAGCAGTGGAGAGGACAAAATGATAATTCCTGTAAATGCTTAGCCTGGTCCTGGCACCCACTAACCACCCAACACTTCTTGGCTGACATTAGTCACAGTGCTGGGTATCATACCCGGCAGGGAAATTTACTCAACAAATGGTCTTTATTGTTATCAAATTATTCCTTTCTTTTCATTAGGCCCACTAGTTATATTTCTTTCCCACTGATGATTCTGAGACCACAGCTCCTGATCCTACTCTGTTACATTCTTTTAAAACCATGTACTTACATCCCAACTCAAGGTCTCAGAGAAACTTTCTTTCTATTTGAAGGTAATTCTCAAGAACAGTGGGGTTCTTCTGGCTGGAGGCCAGATTCTGGGAAAGCTTGATGAGGTCTGGAGTTAGGTCAAAGAGAAAAGTTTAGACAACCAGGACGTCTTCCAAACAGTGATAGGTGAGAAGATGCCGTATCTCCCAACCATTACACATCAATTTGGTAAACCTCTTTAAAAAATTCAGTGTGAGACATATGAGAACTCAGATGGTTTTGTTTGTTATAATTTTGGGGGTTGGCAGCTATGCCAAGTGGACAAAAACACCTGCTTTAGGGCTGGGGATTTAGCTCAGTGGTTCTGCTGCCTGGCTCGAAAGCGCAAGGTCCTGAGTTCAATCTGTGGTACCAAAAAAAAAATCTGCATTATATATTTTAAAACAAAGCCATCTAAAATAGAAATGAACTGAGTTGAGATGTAACACAATAGAGAGATGAACAATCCAACCAGAACAATATTAAAGCCATTCTTTTGTTATTAAGGTTTCCTTTTCCACTAATAACACATGAGGTCGAATTTCCAGGAAAGGAGAAAATAACTAACAATACACAGTGGGAATGATGATTCTTAACCCAAGCTCTCACAGAGCTCCTTTGTGCTAGGATAATGTGAAAATCACTAGAAAAGGTGGCAATTTAGATTGATAACTGTGATTACTTTTTGTCTTCCAAAAGGGAAGTGCTTCAACCTCTGCTAGGGCATAATTGAAAGCCAGTGACTTTAAATGCACTGGGCCAGCCTCATGGCATTTATAACATGGGAAACATTACTGCCGATAGTTGGGGAGTTCTGCACTGCAGTTCAAGAGACTTTCATCATATTTTACCCCTTGAATCTCTGAAGAAATTGCACTCAACATCTAAATGACCAATCCAATTTTGCTAGCAGCCATGATGAGTGTATGCCAAGTAGAATGAAAACATCCTACAGCCTTCCTGTTGGAGACAGAATAGGGAATTCCAAAAAAGACTATAATATCTTCCCCACTAGATTCTTTATAGGTGGAATTAACAGTGACAACAATAATAACAATTGCCATTTATTAATTGGTATTATTTACTGCACACCATGCAAAGTACTATGTAGATGTGATCTCTTCTAATTCAACAACCATCCTATGAGGTCAGTACTATTGTCCCCAAGACCCAGTGAGGAAGCTGAGGCTTAGGGAAGTGAAGAAACTTGCCCAGGTTTAGACAATCGTCCCTTAGTATCCATGGAGGACTGGTTCCAGGAACCCCCACCCCCTTAAGGATGCCAAAATCCTTGGATGCTCAAGTCCTTCATATAAAATAGCATAGTATTTGCATATAACCTTCACACATTCTTCTGTATACTTTAAGTTATCTCTAGATTATATACAATACCTAATACAATGTAAATGCTGTATTAGTAGTTGTTGTCTTGTATTGTTTAGGGAAGAATGACAAGAAAAATATCTGTATGTGTTCGGTACAGAGGCAACTTTCCCCCCTAAATATTTTTCTTCTTCAATTGATTGAATTTTCAGATGCTAAACCCACAGATTCAGAGGGCCAACTGTACAACTATAAGTGGCATACCTGGTGTTAGAACATAGACATGTCTAAGATCGAAGCCCATACTCTTTCCATCCCTTGGCCAGAGTGACTTATCAGGATGTTTTTCAGACTCTGATGGAACTTGAACATCCAGAACTTTGGCATATGATTTTCTTAAAAAGGAGCTGACCCAGTGTAGGGGA